TTGGAACAGCGAAACCAGGACTTGGGTCGCCCTTTCCTCCCTCTAATGAAATTCAGTTTGCTGCTGTTGTTAATCTTTTATTATTTCAAGCCGCGGTGCACGAGGTCCCGTTCCCAACCGGGGCCTGCTGGAGGCGGGATGGGGACGCGGCGTGTGCCACGCGCCTCTGCCCCGCGCCTTGTCTCCTCGCTGTTTCATGCCAAACGTGTTTAAACTGCTTGTGCCCGCTTTCCAGCCGCGCCAAATGTGGCATTGGTGCCAGTTGTTTGCCACTGAAGTCTTACAGCTGAAGCGAACTGGCTCTTTTAATTTAAAAAAAAAAAAAAGTATAATTTAGGCTTTTTGAAGCATTATGTTTATGTATAATCAGTGATTCCCGATTGGCATTTTAAAAATCCTGTGATCTTACAGTTTGCTTTTCTGAATTATTTAGTGTGAAAGTTCACCTCTTCGTGTAGATGTATATATAAACTGTATGTACATATACGCATACTCTCTTCTTCATTTTAACCCATACACTTCCTCTGAAGATGCAGACAGTCCAACTCTGGTGGACTTCGGTCACTGCTATGCTCTCACTATGCATTTTTGTAACAGTGTTAACCAGTTTTTCTCACAGCACATGCAGTCATAATCATTGTTCTTCTTACAGATTCCTTACCAAAAAATCCTTTTACTCCATTTTCTTTCTGTTTTTCTACTTGTAACGTATGTAGAAACTAATACCAGGCACCCTGCAATTTTTTAATTGAGAAGTAGGCATGAAATACAAGTCTGTCTCCAGGTGAGTTGTCAGCTTAAAAATAGATGTGTCAGAAGTACAGCAGTGCTGTCTGAGTAGAAATGGTGGTCTTGATAAGGTAGGTAGAATAATTTTGCTCTGTGCTGCTGTCTTTCTAAAGAATTTCTCTTATCCCTGTCTTCTGATATTCCTTCCATTTCTTCCCTCTGTTGTGGTTTTTTTTTTTTTTTTTTTTTTTTTAATAATAGCAAAGATTTGTATCCAACTGCAATGTTTAAAAGCAAACAAACAAAAAAACCCGGGGGAATTGTAAGAACTGCTGTAAGAACCTTCCAGCCCTTATTCTGTCTTCAGGAGTGGCCAGGAGTAGATGGCTAGGGAAGGCTAGCAGAAAAGAGCAACCATATATTACTGCATCCTCCAGAAATAGATTCGAACACAAACCAGTTTGTTACTCCCTATTTTCTTGAGCCAAAGGCCATGTCTTTGTGTTTAAAATCCCATAGTGGATTTCTCTTCCGTAAAATTCTCACTTTGGCACTCGCAGGCTGGTAGCATCTGCAGCAGCCTGTGGCAGGGAGGTCTGCAGCGTTAACAGTAGGTCGTGCAGAGAACATTCTGCTCTGAATTTCCAGCTGATACCTCCATTTGTTGCAACCCAGTTTTTGTGTTGGAATAGGCAATGAGTGGTTGACTTCTGTGCTCTCTCTGCATCTCATGATTTTATAGACATCTGTCATATCCAGGCTGAAAAGTCATAGCCTGCCCTGTTACTTCTTAATAGCTAAGAAGTGATGCCATAGTTTTGTTATTTCTTGTCACCTTTTTTCAAAACTTTCCTAGTTCTACCGTGTCCCTTTGAAGCTTGGGGGATCAGGGGCAATACCGTTCAATATGCAGGCTGAGCAGAACTTTCTGCATCCTTTCCTAATGTCAGCTTGTGGGGGGAGGCACCCATTGCTTCTGAGGATTTGTACCTCTTCCTTTCATCACAACTATTATTTTAAAATTCCAAGGTGGTAGTCCTGACTGGTGATGTTCAGCTCAAAAGTCCATCCATTCATATCTAAAATCAAAATTTTTTTTTTTTCCCCCAAGTCCACCACTTGACTATTTTTTGTCATTTTATTGCTCAGTCACTCAGCCTCTTAATTCCTTTTGAAATTCTTCAGTAGGCCCATAGGTGTGGTACCCCAGGTAAGTCATTCATGTGCAAATGCTGATGGCACCAGCACTTAACCATCATCATGGCCCCTGATGATAGCAAATTCCTTCCTTACTCCCCTCCTTTTTTCTGATTGTTCAACTAGTCCTAAACAGTTCTAAATTTCCTTTTCAAACTTTCTTAGCAGCTAGTATATTGTTATGTGTATTTGGACGTCCTCCTTGCCTGCTTTGTCTTGCTAGCACTGCATTTTGCCAGAAGATAATACGTAAATATTACTTTGTTAACTTAAAACATCTGATGATACAGATGGGCGAATAGTCTCGTCGGTCCGGGATGGCATTATTTCACAGTGGTTTCCAAGGATAAGCGATAATTAAGCTCTTATTCTCCAACATACTGTTTATAATTTTTTTTTTTCTCCTTCACACTTGTAGTCATTTTTGTCTGTTAGAAGCACCAAATTATTGGAAACAAATGAACATATTTGCATAATTCGGTCATATCAACAACACTTACATTTTTTCGTTTGTTTGTTTGATTTTGTTAAGATGGTGTGGTTGTCTCCGGAAAAGTAAAAAGCAACAATTTGGATGTGGAAGTTACCGGGTCAGAATTGGAAACTGAAGAAAAAGGAATGGAGGAAGAATCCACAAGGGAATCCGATAGCAACATTTTGGATGTATCATCTGAATATCCAAGAGGTTTGCTAATAAACTCTTAAAAATATTTGTGCTGTGTGCTTGAGGAAAGGAGAAGAAAAGGTAGAAATGGTGGGGAAGAAAGGTAAAGGGAATGTGTGAAATCTCATTTTCCATACATCTGATAGGTATGGATACTATTTCCCATGCACCTAAATAAATATTTTCCTAGGACATTGGAAATCTCTTTCAAATGAGAGGCCATTGTCCCCTTAATAACTTTGCTAAAAATCACTGTGGAAATTCATGCATATACAGTGACAGAAGAGGTTAGATGAGGTATGGTCTACATCAGGCTCTGATGCTAAAAGCACCACAGAGAGCAGAGAAAATCTATTGTATCTAAGTGCAGAAGTTAAAAGCTAGGAACTGCTTTTAACCTTAGCTTTAAAACTCACCTGTGTATCTTGAGCACATTGATACATTTCTATGTTTATTTCACATAGGAAAACCTGAAGGCTAATCTTGTAAAAACATTGTAAAGGTTTAAAATCGCTACAGAATAAGTATTACTGTAAACTGGGATGTTCTGTGTGCTGACACCAATAAAGCTGATTTATTGGATAAACTAATTCTCTTGTTATTAGCAAATTGTCCACTGTTCCCATTGACTGATAAGTTGAAAAATCAAGAGGTAAAGATTAAACAGTCTCCTAAGGGGAAAAAAAAAAAAAACGGCTGGCTATGCAGTGATTAATCGTTACTTAGAATTGGTCCACTTCTAGCTGATACTTCAGTTTTGCCAGACAGTTCATAGGATGTTTTTGTACTGCTTTGTGCATGATTTGCATTCAGTAACGATGCTGAGCAGTAAAATCAGGAGTAAATAGAATGTGACTTGATCTTTTCAACTTGTTTTTTCAAATGAAGGTCTTTCCAATTTGAGAAATTTGATATGTGTCAGCCTTAAAAAGCAAGTAGAAATACATGAAAATGCATGGATCTTATTAAAGAACCATTCTAGGGATTAATTTTGCAGTCATTCATTCTACCATGGAAGTTAAAGGATACAAACAAGTATTCTAATTGGTATTATAGTTATTCTCTAATAGTGTTAGATTTCAAATGATGCGTAGAAAAATAGTAAACTAAAAATAATTTTTTAACTAAGAATGTTTAATTTCTAAATATCTCTGCTTTTTAGAGAAACATATTTCAATTCAAAGACATCTTGCTGATCTAGAGAAACTAGCTGACCTGAAAGAAGGTGAGTTTAGCATGGCAGAATCCCAGAACACAGATCCTCATGGTACAGGTATTTACATTTACATTTTCTCTTATTTTTTATTTTTAACACACTACATAAATTCGTAATGCTTGAAGGCTAGGGGTCTCATAAAAAACAGCTTTATCATTTGTTCCCTTGCTTATCAAACGTTGTACGTACTTCAGTAAATTTAAGGCCTTAATGATTCCTTTCCATATTTTTCCTCTGCATTATAGCATTTCTAATGTTGGCAGTGTGCATGGATCAGCAAAATGTTGACTGTAGCTATACATTAGCAGCTTAGTCCAATTTTTATTTTACTTCAAGTGCCACAATAACAGGGAAACTAATTGTTGTCTTTGCGCTGTTTAAATATCGGTTTAAATAAATATGTATGCTGTTTTGGATATTTTTTTTCCCCACTCTGTATTAATTTCTGATCCAGATGTATGTTGGAGGATTGCTTTAAGACTGCAAAGTGCTTTATTACAACTTTTGGTTTTTCTCTGATTACATGTATTTATTTAGCACTGGTAGTGGCAGCCCTTGCAACTGAAACTAGTTTTTATTCACAGATCAAGGAACACATCAGGGTCCACATAGGATCTGCATCATACGGTTCTTGCACCTTAGTCATCTTTCAGAGTGGCCATTGATGGAAATAATAGCCTACCTCCATGTCTGTTTGATTTTGCTAACAAATATGCCAAAAACTTCTATAGGGAGTTTGTTCCCTTTTTAATAAGGAGATAGGTCGTAAGTAACCCATAAGTCTGGTACTTGTACCTGTTGTTGAGCTGGGTTATGTGTAAATCCATGGTAGAGGTAAGAAACTCATTATTCCCTTGCCTATTCTCAATAGTAATTTTTTCTTTCTTCTGCCATTGACGTAGCGTTCTTCTGCCACATGTGGTAATGGAGTGACTTGTATTTATTACCATCGGCTTGTGTATTTGATACTCAGTAAATCATAAGTTCATAAAAGAGGCTGATCAACACTAGAGAACACTGGTGATTTATTTGGTGAGCTGTAGGCTGCCTCTGTTGGCTTCAGTGGCATGGGACTCTGCGTGGACATAGTAATCCGCTCGTTAAAAAGTCGTAAAAAAGGAATTTTACTGTTGTGCAAGCCTAAGATAAGTAATGATTATTATAGATGCCCATGTTGTGTGGCATGATTTAGTATTCATCCTCTACTATTCTAACACATAGAAGCTTTTCTGCTAAATTCTGCATGAGAAGTTGTTTGACATTCAGCAGTCTTAAGACCCAGCAGCAGATGTATGCATGCTCTGATACATAATTCCTATGTACAGCTCCACAACATATGTCTCCCAACAGGTAGTTTTTATTTAGGTTAGTACTTCAAAGTCTTCAACACCTTTGACATCAGATAATCTTGCCTTTGCTTTTTTCTCCCTTATGCAGGATTCCCAAGAACAAAAAATATTGTAACGTAACTTTGTTTCTTTTTCAGCTTAAAAAGATACCAGGTGCTTGTTCTATCTAAAGAATTCAGGAGGAAAGACAGATTCTTGTTCTAACCTCTAGGCTTCATCTACAAAATTCTGTTATTGTGCAGTACTCTTCAGAAGTTGCATTAGTCTCATGTTGCTGGAGTAAAAAATACTAGAAAACAAAAACTAAAGGTTGTAGCCATTAATGATCTTTAAGGTAATAGTGGTTCTTGTCTATGTTCTATGGACTAGAAAGAGGCAATCCATAAATTTGAAGTTTGTGTATGCCCAAAATAGAATATACCCTGGGGAAGTCATCTTTAACTCCCATTGATAAGTACCTTCGTCCTTTTTTGTCCTGAATATGCATCTCTGTTAACATCAGTGGTAACTGCATTTTGTACACTTCTCATGCTTTTTTATTTGTGTTTTCAGATGAAAAGAAGCCTTGTCCGTTGTGTCCTGAGGAGAAATTCAAGGCTTGCTATAGTCATAAACTCCATCGTCACCTTCAGAATTTGCACTGGAAAGTTTCTGTTGAATTTGAAGGTAATGGCAAGCATATTTGAATAGTTAGTACTAGAAGAAATTGTGGACATGTAGGACATCGTTCTGTATTTCATCTTTTTAAATTCCTCTTGACTTAAGCATTTTGTTACCAGCTCTGAACTAGAACCATATTTTGACATAAAGAATTTTGACCTAGGATGTAAAATGTAAATGTAAAATAGCTCTATATTCTTCCACATGTAAACACAGTTACAGTTGTGCATTTTCTCATTTAAAAAAAAACCGATTGCTTTTGGCACATCATGAAAATTACTATAAAATTTGAAATAGGTATATAATGAAAATTACTTTAGTAAAAGTTTTGGTTAGAATGTTAATAATCAGACACACAGACATTGTCATTTTTGGCTCATCATAAAAGATTCCATCATTTCAGATAAAATACTTAAAAGTATTTATTTAGTATCCGTGTTTAGTAGCCTTATCTGGTTTTTAACAAACTCTGTGATCTGCTTGTAAGATGCATTAAAATCCCCACAGGAAGTTTAAGAAGGAAAAGAAAGTGAGCAGTTTGTTTCTAAGGAACTAGGTGTGTGAGTCTGCAGGAAATAAAATACTAATCAGAAGATGGACTAGATTAAAGTTAAAAATGATCTGACTGGAGTTCTGGTTTTGCATGCACTAGCAGATGTCTTTTGTTGTTTTGGTTTTGGTTTTTTTCTTCTTTAAACCATGGAACATACGTTTTATAGGATTATTCATACAAGTCTTTTAGCCAGGTAACAGTACTTTTGTAAAATACTCGCAAGTACTTTTGAAAGTTATATACCAGATAGCCTGAAGACTCTCTATAGCTTTGTAGGATGCCCACAGACTTATTAAAACGAATTGTCTGTATGTAATTTTTTCATATTTTAAAAATTTATAATTAGCTGATACATTTCTTGGTGCGGAAGGTGAGTTTACCATATAATTGGTAATGTTCTCTTGTTGCTGTCTTGTAGCAATATTTGGGAATCTTAAATGAGACCATGCCTTAAAAATAAAGAACATTTTGAATCAGAGTTTGTGGTAAGGACATATGCATTCTGTTTACTTATCGTATTGTGATGTGACAAGAATTTGTTTTCCAGGGTACAGAATGTGCATCTGCCACTTACCTTGTCATCCAGTAAAACCAAACCTCACTGGAGACCAGGTAAAAATGCTGAATTGCAGAAATACTTGTTAACCTACAAAGTGGGGGAAGTGGGTGATTTAGGGGAACTTCTGCAATCTACCGAGTCTCAAAATATGTCTTGCTATCCAGCGTGGGATACCAAAAGCTTACCAGTCTGGAATATAAGTATCTGATATGGGTAGCTAAATCTAGTTGCAGAGCTCTCTTATTTTGGTGGGTAAGTGCCTAGATCATGTAAAACACTGTCACAGTTTGGAGTAAACAGCAGCTTTGTGTTGAAGAGATGAAGGGTTCTTTAGGCCAGGCGGTGGATGTTTCTCAGTTCCTCCCCTGTGTGCTGAGTATATGGAGTATTGGCAGAGTTGAGTCAGTTGTGGTGCTGTGGCAGGATAGCTGTGCTGTGCTGCGCTGGCTCTGCACGTATGATTACTTACAGTCTCTGTGGCTGTAGATTCAAAATGTTTTGTATGCGCTAGAGGTAACAGACAGATGACTTCTTCATATGCCTGTGTTCAGGTATAGTTCTACTTAAACCATTTTTATGTATTCTGAAACTATACATATTATTTTTTACAGACATTTTCAAAGATGGGAGCCCATTACCATTGTATCATCTGTTCAGCAACTATTATGCGAAGAACTGACATGATCGGTCATATTAATCGTCATGTGAATAAAGGAGAAACTGAATCAAGGTTTGTTACAGGTAGGTTCTTACTTCTATAAAACACTCAATCTTTTTATACTATCTAGCACATGGAATAACTATATGGGTGAGAGACATGAGAATTCCAAAACAGATTTAGCTTTATGTATGAGAAATCTGCCCTTAATATTTCAGAACTTTTTTTTACCTCAAAGGTGTAGCAGTGATGTGATTTAGTCTCTGCATTGACCACCTACTCTGTTCTTTATGATAAATAATATTTCATTCACAGTTAGTTTAATGTTGTAAATGTAGGCTTCTGTCTCTCCAAAAGAATGGAGGACATGGAATCCATGAACAAAATCTCTATAGAGAATTTATTGCCTATGTACTCACCTGTGTGTGTTTGTAAATCAGTCTTGAGTAAATCTCTGCAATATAAAAACCCTTTGCTTTTTATCCAAACTGCATCAGCATGGATTCATAAAACAGGATGACTTTTTTTTTTTTTTCAGTCCTGGAGAGTCATGACAGAGCTGTCTGTAGTTCTTTGGTAAATGACAATCCTGTTTGACTTTCTCCGTAATTAGACTTCTGTTTCAAAACTTGTATAAGCTAGACTGGCAGCATTTTAAATAACTGGAATGCCAAACCTTTATTTTTGAAAGTTGTTCTCTACAGCTGATGAGTAAAAAGCACATTATCGATTAGCTGGTGTGTAAAAGTTAAGGCTTTTTTGCTACAGCCCACACTTACTGTCGAAAATTGGTCTGGTTTTTTTTCTCTTTGTCTCTGTTAGATGTATGGATTTTATCTAAATATAATATAATAAAGATGAGACTGGGAGCTCTGAGGGTCACACTTCTTCCTGTTGCCAATATGCAGTTTAGGAGTAGTAGTTTCGTGTCTGGGGATCAGTTTGCATGACTAAGAAGTGATAATAGTAAATATTTCATACTTTTAAGTAGCCTTTGTGTTGTGAAATATATTACTCTCTGTGTGGTTCCCTTCAGAGCTGTTAGTAAAGAATGGCCAATTTGTCTTTTTTTTTTTTAACAAAATGCATGTGGTTATTTTTTCTAATGGGGAGAGAAGACATTCAGAGGTCAGGTATTGGAGGTGCTCCAGCAACGCTGCGGGGCTATGAATGTGGAGCACAGATATGCGATCTCTGTATTGGAAAGCACTAAGAGATAGGCAGGCTGAGCACTGAAAGTTATCTAGCTGATAGCTTACGAATTTTTCCTGGTTGTTCCTGGGTAAATTTTGTTACTGTTAGACTGGGGATAAATTGCACAGAGGAATGACAGCATGTGTTTACAGCTGTCAAATCAGAAAGCTTGTTTTGCCACAGACTATTTTATACAAAGCTTAAGTGCTGAAACTGTCCCTGTGCTTGTGCTGTCTATGTGCATTTCATGAAGCTGTTTGATAACTTACAGATATTAGATCAAGGGTTTTGAGGGATTTTTATAATTTATTGATATATATTCAGGGCTATCTTAATAGGGTGTTAATTAATTAGCAATGTATTATGTTTGAACATGCAAAACAAATGTGCTATGCCTCAGGCTCAGTAGCTTGCTTTCTTAAATTTGAGTTGGATACATAGGAGCCCAACTGAGAAACAAATCTGGGGTTTTATAGGAAGAAAATTGTAGTTGGGCTTGATCCTTATCTGCCGCTCTTGGGACTAGAAAATAAATTGTTGCCTGCTTTATTCTCCCCACATTCTGGTTTACTGATCTATGTGTGCCATTTGGATTACTGCATAATGCAGACTTCTTGCTATATGGGACCAAATTTTCAATTTACTTTATCATATGTGCAGATGTTAATTTCAATTCTCACTAGCTCTTTCTTTCCCCCACAATTACTTTCTTTCAGTTCCTGCTCCCAAGTCTTCTTATGAAGTGCTGAAAGAGTCAGCCACAGATGTGCAGGTTCTTCCCAACCACTCCACACCCCATAAAACAGATTCCTATTTTAATCCTAAAATGAAACTCAACAGGTAAGAGAACAAAGAGTGGGAGGATGTGCCAGAGGGGTGGTGAGTTTGTAGTGAAACATAATCATGTGTTTTGAAAAGCAAACCCTGCAAAGCTTTTGTTCAGAAGGAAGGAGAAATAGTTTACCATCAGAAAACTCTTCCTGACAAATACTATTTAAACCTAAGAACGCTATATGGGACCTATTGTAATTTCTGAAGCAATTAAGTATTTTTCTGTAATGAGTAGTTTATGGAGAAGAACAGGATTTGAAAGGAGAACCCTTGAAAACTTCATTGTATACACTTAAGATGTTTTTCTGTGAATCTCCAAAGGATACTATGGATAGTCACTGCTCTCTCTCCTCTAACTGAACAGCAGCATACCTATAATTTACAGTTGTCATCTTCTAGGCCTTTTTGTCTTGAGACTCAGATTCTCTCAAGTGTCTTCTCATTATTTGCATTTAAAAAGATGAAGGAAGAAACACTGTCTTTTTTAAGAGTCATAAATGGTGTCTATACCACAACTGAAAGGTGCAAGCATTGACACCAATACATGGGACTGGGCTTCAGCCCGTGCTGACCCCCTCATGTTCTCAGTGCTGTTAATATTTAGGCTTCCAGGTTTAAAGTTACCTCAGATATGTCTAAGCTAAGAAATGCCTCTGAAGAAGGCTGTTGGAACTAAGGTTATGGCCATGTCTAAAAGAACAAGGCCTGTTCAGTCAACACAGTGGAATTTCATTGCTCTAGTAATTTCTGGCATCTTTTTAAACACAGAGCCATTAGTAGGGTAGTATCAGATTGTGCTGAGAAAGTAAGAAAAACACTATTTGCTTTTGAATGCTAGCTGCTTTTTCCAGTGTTAGAGTAACTAGTAAGTTGATTCAGGATCTCACCTTATGAATATCCTGCTGTACAATTAAACTTTTAAGGGTAGTTGAGGTTTTTGATTTACAATTCTTCTGTGTAAAAGGTACAGTTTAGCTTAAATGTTCTCGTATTATGTTCAAGGGAAATAACTTAAGGAAAAGGAAGGAAAAGGATTTTCTCAATTTACTTACTATGACCGTTCTTTTTTATTTTCAAGGCAATTGATATTCTGCGCACTAGCTGTTCTAGCTGAGGAACGTAAACCGATAGAATGTTTGGATGCTTTTGGTGCCACTGGTAAGGTCAATTTCTTTAATCTCTTGGCTAATAACCAATAGTATGAAGCTGCAGAAATCAGTAGTAACTGACACCGTATATTCAAAAATAATCTGAGGTACACAATAATTTTCTTCCTTAGGCAGGCAGCAATTAGCTTCCATACAAAAAAAACCCAGCCTTGAAGAGCCTGGTATTAGGCCTTTTAAAAAGGCTACAAATAAAATTACATCAAAGCTTAGTGGTCTCCTTAAAATTGTTTGCCTTAATGTCCATGAAATGGCATCTTCCTAAACCTGCGTCCAGGGTCACAGATCTCTTATGACTCTGTGGAATTTGGTTGTAAAATCAACCTGCTGTTTAAAAATGGTTGATGAATCCAAGCTTCTTTATCAGAATCATCTCTTAATTGACTACAAAAATTCTGAACATGAGCTAAATGTAAAGTAGTTATATCAGTGTCTATTAACCATCTGGAACAAAAATCTGAAGAGATCTGGATTGCTGCCTCATCAGCCAGCTACTGTAAACTTAGGGCCATAATTGAGAACAGCAGTAACTGTTCAGCATTTTGCATAAAAATTCCTGATAATGAATTTATCACCATTCTGAACTAGGCCAGACTTCACAAGTGCATCCTGTCCTGCACATCTACAATGTAATCAAGGGCTTCACTGTAAAACTCAGCAATAAACATTTGGAGGCAGCTTAAAATCTTCACAGTACCTATTCTCATGTTTGTGTTTTACTGTGGTCTGTCACAGGAGTCTGTCTGCTACCCTGGAGTGTTACAAGAGACAAGGGGCTTTCTTGCAGATTGTGGGTCCAGCTTGCTGCAAAAATCACAGGTCTTTCAGTCTATAGCCCCAATTCTAATATAAGCAAGTGACAAATAGACTGTCCTTTTGCATACCCTGTTGTCACTCAGTGCTGAGGCAGAAGGTCAGCAACACATTTTTGCAGGAACATGACGAAATTTGCATCACACACACTTCTGTCTTACAGGCATTTTAAAGGATGAATTTTTTTCTTGGCGAGTTCAGCAACCCAGAAACCAATTCTTTATTCTGATAATGGGATTACAATGGGCAAAGCATCTCAGAAGTTCTGTGAAAGTTACGATTAATGATTGTAATGAAAATTCTGTGACAATGATTCAGGAAAACTGCCATTTAAACAAAATGAAGGTGAAACTGAACACTAAGGAAGAAGACAATGATGAAGCTATGGGAGATGGAGAACAAAATACTGACACCATTGAGGTGACAAAAATGGATGCCAATGTTATAATGCATTTGAGATCATTTGATTTTATGTAAGTGTTGAATATTTCTGTTAATAATTTTCTGGTTTGATAATGACATGCCCCACCCCATCTCCCAGTGTATGATAACTTAGGGAAGTTGGAATGAAAGAAGCAACCAACAGTCAAATTACTTGGTATTTTAAATGTAACTCTTATTGTCCCAGAAATGGTGTGGGAACAGAATTTTAATCTTAAATGTTTTAGAAATTGCTGGAAAAATAATAAGCCCTTCTGACATCCAGAATGGACTATAAACGTACATGAAAATTTTAAGCCAAACTATTTTTGGTATAACTTGCTTGTCTGTTTGATAAAGAGAAATGATTAATCTGTTTCTTTGTTTTTTCTTAAAACTTTTAATTAGTTGAAAATTCATACCTTTGCATATTGTTGTGTAGGACTTCAATGCATCTTTTGTTTTAATCCATTTTGCAGTATATTAATTTTTAATTAAAGTAGGCTAATTCTCCCAAGTTGGGTTTATAGATGCATACATTCAAAACCTATACAGACTCTAAGAGATTGGATCTTTTTTTTTTTTTTGTATTGGTTAACATCCAGATCTAAGCTAATTAAGCAGCATGTATTCAGGCTGAAAATTAGTCTAAATATTTAGTTCATATACTGGAATGCATACATTTGAAGACATTTTCATTTTTAGAAGTTTCCCTTTCTTTTAAGGTTGGAGGTAAGCATCAGGCCAATATTCTTGTAACTTGAGTTAGTCAGGATACAAAAAACCAACCAACCAAAAAAAAAAAACCCCAATTTGCTGGTTTTGTGGTGATGTGGGGTTTGGTTTTTGGTTTGGTTTGGTTTTTTTCCAGCAGAGCGCTGCCCTGGCTCTTGCAATTTCACATTTAAGTATTCCAGAGTAATTCATGAGAGCCTTGCTGTAAATTTTAGTCCTGCTTTCTCATTTTTTTTTAAATATGACCACAGGTGAAGCTTATAAAATAGTGTCTTCCTGAGATTAAAGCTAAACCCTTGAGCATCTACAGATACTTAAGTGGGATTTCCTATCTTTTCAGCCATTTGGACCCCTTTGGAACTTCTGTGAATTATCTGGATTCTGCCTTTAGAAATGTGAGAAATCTTGGAATTGTGTCACTGACGTCCACAGACATCAGTTCTCTGTATGCAAAGGCTCAACACGTTGCCCTGCGTCATTATGGATGTAACATTGTCAGAACAGAGTACTACAAGGAGCTGGGAGCCAGAATAGTAATTGCTGCTGTGACAAGGTACTGCTAAAATAAATGTGCTCAAACTCTGGTAGAAACTTATTAGAAAAGTATTAGCAATACAAAAGACTGTTGCTGTAGGTTGTACATGTGCAGTTTCCAGAATTCCTTAATTCTAAAAGCCCGGCTTCTGGGTACAAAACTAATGCTTCATATTTTATGTGTGCTGATATAGGATAATGTAAATTTTAAACTAAAAGACTGGGTAAGGTGAAAATGCATTAAGTAGGGTAGGGGTTTGGGATGGTAGGGAGCTTTTTTTGGTGGTGGGGAGGGACAGTAATAGAAACAGTAGTACCCAGGCTTGCCTGTTTGCAAGCTCTTTTATTCCTCTGTCTATTTTGTTATTTTTAGTGCTGCATAGGACTTTGTAAATATTAATTAAGCTGCTTCAATAGCTTGTGGCTAAGCATTACAGTTAGACTTGCTTCAGTGGAAACACGTTCACTTCAGATCCCCGTGCTTGAGGTTAAAAAGATGTATGTAATTACTAACTTGTGAAATTAGTCATTTGCATATAGATATTCTGAATAAATTCAATCTGTTAAATAAATGAAGATGTAAAACCTGGTCCCTAATTGGAGGAAAAAAAGATACAGGCAAGAGGATGGGACAACTGCTCAGGAAAGACAGGGGGATAAAATAAAGTGCACAGAGGTCTTCAGTGTGTCAGAGCAAAAATACTGACCTGACTATGTTTAGATTTTACTTCTCCATCTCCCTGCATATGTGAAGTTGTTCCCTGCAGAACATTCTTAGATACATATATGCTTCTCAAGAAAAGTTTGAAGTGTGTTCTGGGCTACATGCTCCAACTCCCCTAAAGATTTCTTCTTCTTTCTCAGTGCTTACCTATTCGGGAACTGCTCACTTGCCTTCCCACAGTCCCTATTTCATTAACATTGGATGATTTACTACCATGTGTGTCCCCTCTACATTTCTGCTTTTTTGGATTTTCATTTACTTTGTTTATATTTTGTGTTACAATATCCTGGCAATAGGTAGGTATTTGGATAGAAAGGTGATGCAGATGTCAGACCGATATTTCTAGATGTGATAAAAAGTAGTAAACCAAGATTAGCTTGGCCTTACAGGAAGTAGACAAAACTAGGCACTTAAGAAACAAAACTTTCTCCTGATCCCTGTCTCAGATCTTTAGTATCTCTTTCCAGAAAGTGGATGAGCTCAAGAATCTTTCAGCAGGTTCAGGTGTCTGTGGCAATCTTAGTCTGCTGATTTCAGCACAATGTGGTTTTGTGTTTGTTTTTCCCTCATAGAGCTGCAGCTCGCTGTAACAAAGGCATTGAAGTTTTACTCGCAGTAGCTCTGGAACATTTTGTTCTAGTAGTGGTCAGAGTTTTAAGGGGACCATCTCCTGCAGATGATGCAGCAAAGAAAGTAAGATACCTCATCCATTGCCAGTGGTGTGAAGAGAGAATTTTCCAGAAAGAGAGTAATATGGTAGAAGGTAAATGGATTTTCCTTTATACTTTCTGGAAGGTCTGATTCCTGTAGCTTCTTTTTATGCTTTTTTAGGCCTCGTTTATATTTACATCCCTTTCGTAAAGTACTTCCCTTTAACGTAACAATGAGTGTATTATATGAGGTAGAGAAGGTACTATGCTTTACAGTAGTGGGTTAGATTAGTTGTCTGCATGGATTTTGCTGTAAATGTACTGGATTTGTTTCTAGACAGGACATACTCCACCTAGCTGGAGCTGCAAGGGTGCCTGATATGCCCATGGATCTATCCTGTCACTGAAGGGCATGAAGAGCAGCAGAATCTTTGCTACCATTTGGTTCCTCCACACAGGGGCAGCTTGATAGATTTCGGTGTCAGATTGCTTTTCTACTGTCCATTTCAGTTACCTTAAAATGTCGTGGACTTAACAGTATCACTTACCCCCTCAGATGAGGGTGTATTCTGCCTGGCCTTGGGCAGTATCTGTAAAAGCCTGATGGCGGTATCTCAGCAGGTGTGGTAGGAAAGCTATGCAACATTCCTGTAATTGATCTAACACTTGGTGGTAAATTAAGGCAGCCTCTGGGTTAAAAACCAACTGTTTGTGGGCTGCCTCTATATGTGAGTTAGTAGAGGTAGGAGACAAAAATTAAGCCAGGAGGGAGCTACTAGCCAGATGGTACTGTGCACAAATATAGAAGGAAAAATCTTGTTTAAAAGTTACAGGTTCTTGGATATCTAATGACTAACTGACAGTGTCTTTGAGTGCTCTGCTCAAAGTCAGGTGTGGGAATATGCAATGAGCTTGTTTAAAAAAACTTAGATGAAGTTTTAAGAACAGAAATGAATAACTGATAAGTACAGTGTTGCACTAGAGACCTTAATTAGTAAATTAATTGTTTACTTAATGCCCTACTTGCAAGTGAGCTGACTTACAGCTTAGAAAACTTGTAGGTGGGAAATATTTTGTAGATGTAATTGGCTGATGTCTAAAATTTTTTTGTGTTATTTACTGTTAACCTGGGCAGCTACTTATGTAAGTGTAGGAAGGCTAACAGTTTCCTTGTTACTTGAAGCCTGCCAAGAAACATAGGAATTATGTGTTTTTTTAGGGTTGGGTTTTTTTTTCCTTCAGTGTTTTAATAATGATTAAGGATCAAGTCATCAATTGCTAAATTCTCATAAGCAGCGCTTGGCAGAAGCGAGAACAGTGTCACACTTCTGCTGTTGCTTGCCCTTCCAAATACCTCCACTGAAGTAAGCTGCTACTTCAGATCTGTCATTTGTCTCCAGTAAAGCAGGCATTGCTGACTATTTCAAAACAACTTAAATCCTGTTTTTTTCTGTTGTAGAAAACCCTTATCAGCAGCTGCCTTGTGATTGTCACGGCAGCATGCCTGGGAAGACAGCAGTAGTTCTTGGTCCTCTCTGGTAAGTACAGAACGCAATACAGAATCAGAGAATGATTTAGGTTGGAAGGACCTCTGGAAGCCAGCTATTCAGTCATATAATAAAAATGCAAGTCTGCTGGATATTTAGCACTACAAAAGGTGGTATAGCAATCAGGAGGAATCCAGGAAGCATTTAATTGATTTTTGAATTTAGTAGGGTATTCAGTTTTTGCTTTTGTTTGTAGAATTCAAACCGGTTAATAAATAGTAAGAAATTTGCTTTAAATTTCACATTCAGTGCAAGTTATGTAATATGTCCTGCACAGGAGAATCTGGCTGTGTGTTGATCTTAAAGGTCTTTTGCAACCTATCCTATTCTATCCTATGCTGTTCCTCTAGTTGCTGAATGTTAAGTAAGTAACAGTTTAGTACATGATACTTGCAGAGAATTTATTTAGTAAATCCTTACATGTGCTGACAGTAGAAATAATACCCTGCTTGACAATTAATACTTAGCATTTTCTCTTGTGAGAAACAAGTATAAATCCTTTTGTTAAGTCTTTTAACCATTTCAAAGCAGTATTAGAAATGGTTGACAATTGACAGGACCTTTCTTCTGGGGGTTAAATTACTTTCTCAATGAAGCAGGGCAAGTCAGTGGTGGAAATAAAATTAACCATTGTTGAGATCTTGATTTTTAACACGAGAGCAATATTACTGTCCATTGGAAATGGCGATTTGATATGGCTGTTATGAACACAGGCTGATGCAGCACTTTGGTGTCATATATAATTGCTGACCAATCTGGGTGAGAGATTTTTAGAGCAACTTAAGACTTCTTAATGAAAGCAAATAACTTTTCACTTGTCTTGTATTCCATAGGTCAGGAGCCCTCTTTAACACTGGATTCCTCAGAAGAATGCTGTTTGAGGCTGTCCAGTATGGTTTGGATGAAGTTCAGCCACTTTTGAAGACATTAGTTTGCGAAGCTGAGTGCACAACTTCAAAACATTTTTCTACCCATAGTCCCTATGATGAGAACAAACAAGGTAAGAAAAATGGCAGATTGTTGACAAAAAGGACTGGCTTTGTGGCAATTTAGAGAGGTAACTTTGATAACTTACTACTAGCAGCAGTGTATACATAAAAAGGTCAAGAAAATGTTGCTTTGAATGCAGCGTGGGACTTGGCAGCTGGTCTTTGGTGCTGTAGAAAAGAGTAGGGTCTGTCAGAGGCAGAGCGCTGGATTTAGACATCATTAATCAGTATGACAGGTCCTAAACCAAATAAACATAACACAGGCAGGTTGACCTCCATGAAATCCAGCATATTCCCTGAAGGAGGTGGAAATACTAAGTGTCTGCTATTCCTTTGGTGTATCCCAGTCCCAAGCTGAGACCATGTGCTGTTAGGAAGAGAGGACTCCAGCTGTTGTGCTCTGCAGGGATTGCAAATCAGTGTGCCAAAAGAAATGGCTTTCTATACAGGAATGCTGTTCTACCACTAAATGAAATCGTATTTTGAATATTCCCTCTAACTTGTAGTTACTGAGTTAGTAAGTAAAAGCTACTCATATGTATGCTTCTTACTGCACTTCCTTCTTTAGGCCAGAACGTGGTATTCTTTCTTTCTGTGTAACCAAGACATTTTGCCATTTTACAGTAGAATTAATTTTGACTTTTCATTGTATTCTAGAAGAGTGTGGCGTATATATTAAAACACCAAATACTTCTGCAGAATCCTACTTGGTACATGGTAAGTAGTCAATTTTGGTGTAGCTCTAGCAGTTTCAAACTATAGTTTAAGTGATGGCTAAGGCAACATAGTGTTCACGGTTTTTTATATTTAACAATACTGGTACTCAGGATTTATTTTCCCACTGAATGCTGATTTTTACTTTACCTTCATCCAGAATCGTATTCACTGGTAAAAGCAGAATGCTAAATACTCCATGAAGCCTTCTTGACTTTACTTTTTATTACTGAAAATGGCATGTTAATTAAATTCAGGTTGGATTTTAACTGTGCAAAATACTAGCTTATAAAAATAGACAAAGCTGTAGTTGCTATGTCACTTTTCTTTTTTATGTACTGTCTTTGGCTTCACTGGCATTTTTTGTGGTCTTACTGAATATTCACTAGTTTCACGGGCATTTTTTTGTGGTCCAGGAAAAAGAAAAAGTGAAGAAGTGATTCGAAATGCAGCCAAGCGACAAAAATCTGAGAACAGTGCTGAGCACCCTGCATTTTACTACAATATCCACAGACACAGTATTAAAGGAATGAACATGCCAAAGTAAGGTTTTCGGTTAAGTTCCCATCCTACATTATGTGACAACTGATACATAACTTCTATTGAATCAGGCTTACTTAGTAGCATTAACTCCTTTTTAAATGTGGGGTTTTTTTCAGGTTAAATAAGTTCTTAAACTATCTCTCTGAAGCTGGATACAGAGTAAGCAGAACCCACTTTGATCCCATGGGAGTTCGCACGAACGCGCCCTTGGCGCAGTTTAAGACTATTCTTATGAAGTACAGCACTCCCACTTACACGGGGGGGCAGGCGGAAGGCCCTGTCCATCTGGCTGAAGATCTCCAGGCAGGAGAGCAGCTTCAAGCTCCTGCAGACGGCAAGGCAGAAGATGCAGAGTTTCTGGAAGACAAATCTGGAGTTGCTGCCACCATGTTCACAGAAGCCTACCCTACTCACTGTGCAGCTGACTAATGCAAATCCTTTTGTTCATAGATCAGGATATTACAGACTTGCAAGCACACCCTGTTCAAGTAAGCCAGCACTTCCTACCAAACTGGATTTTGAAAATTTGAGTTGCCTGCTATTTTAATTTGAAGAGATGGTTTAGAATTATTTAGCAGAACTCACCCCTGATCGCAGCATGTGTGGTCAAGATACTGTTACTGGGAGAAGGTCTCTGAGACAGTTACTTGATTTAATGCTCACATCCACTTTCACACTGAGGCATTGTGACTGCTCCCGCATCTTTGTTAAAGCCTTATTGCTAGCACAGAATCCAGAAGGGTGGATGGGGCCAAAAGTCTTACGCATTTCTGAACGTGAGGTTAATATGAAACAGAATATTCCTAAAACAAATCATTCCTAAAGCCTGACTGACTGCAATTCAGAGGGATGTCATGTTAAGATGGTAACACAGGATAAAATGTGATCTGAGTTTAAGCAAGCCAGGAGGTCCTGATGGTGCACTTCCAACTCCAGATTCCACATGTAATTTGGCAGTCAATTCTGGTTTCATAGTTCTGCCTGCAAGCAAGGACCCTAACACAAGTGAGAATGGAAAGGAATGGTTCCAGACTGTTACTGAAACTTCAGTTTATAACCAAACTTTAGTGAGTTGTGTTAGTCACCCTAGGTAGTTACTTGTTCAGATTACATTTGGTTGCGTACTGCAAAAAGGTACAGTGACAAGGCACCACAAGTTGAAGTTCTAGGTAAAGTTTTGCTATGACTTTGTCAATGACACAATCTTAGCTGTTAAACAGATCTCTTCTGAACGAGCAAAGATGCTGTTTGTTGGTAGTCGGTTCTGGTTTTCCTTAAATACATGGCAGCATTTCAGCCAAATAAGCTTGACTTTGTCCTTTCTTTCCCCCAAACTTTGTTCAGATACCTCCCTGTATTTCACTTGAATCGGGAACAACTATCACAATTGAAGTAATTGTTCTAGTTTTTCACAGGTTTGGTGTTTAGCCTGACCCCCAGTGTTAGCTTTACCTAAGAGCCGAATATGAGGGGCTATTCTTACTTGTCCATCTCAAACGTCACGGCAAGGGTATCGCTTCTCTCATTGGAGTGCCAACCAAGAGTAACGTGACTGATGCGCTCCTGATTATGCAAAGCCTCCTAAGCTCCTGTCAGGCCAGAATTAAGTTACTGCCTCTTATACCATCTTAAATTCAGGACTGCTTTGGTAATGAGTTATTTTCATTCTGTCCTAATTTAAAAAAAAAAAAAAAGAAAGACACTACTAAAGGCATAATAGATAGTTTGTTGCTGTGTAACTGCTGATGTGCTAAGTTTCCTTCAGAAATTTAGTGCTTGCTCTTCCTTTTCCAAGGGTAAGTTGGGATCAAATTGGAAAGATAAATGCAGGGAGAAAGAAAAGTTTGTGATCCCTGGTTGTTTTGAATTAAGGGGTTTTTTGGTTTGTTTTTTTTTTTTTTTTTTTAAGTGGAGAAACTGTAGGAAGGCTTTGCTTGCAGATAACACTGTTCAGTGTTAACGTAAGTAAGTGGGATAGAATCAGTCATAAAGTCAGTTAACTGGAGCAAAAGACAGTGTTCCAGTTAAAACTTTCTTTTTAGCCTACTTTATTGTAACTAACTGAAGCCTGTTGTGGGAAATATTTTTGATTACTTTTATAGCTCCTCCTAAGGAACAGGAGGTATCGTGCATATTTTACAAGTCAAGGCAACTATTCCTTGGTGATGAACAGGAGGTATCGTGCATATTTTACAAGTCAAGTCAAGTCAACTATTCCTTGGTGATTGCAGCTGTGCACAAGGAGGGGCAGAGAAAGTGAAGTTCGGGCTTGTCCATGCAATTTTTTTTTTTTTTCCTGCTGTCAAATGAGCAGAAGTCATTATAATCTGGGACAAGGTGTTTTGCTTGTATGTGACCACCAGAAAGGGGTGTTTGTAACTCAGGCCTGTGAGAATTCTTTCTGTTCAATAGTTGGCTCAGTTGTTCATCAGGAAGGGTCAGTCCTGCAGTAATTAGTTAACAGAACACTAGTGTTGGTTCGAGGCTTTTGTTTGGGGGCTTCTCCTTGTTTTGTCTTGATTCCATTAGAAGGTACGACTAGTACATCGTCCTCATGCTGTATGGAAACATGGTTTGGGGAACATAGCACTCTGCTTACCTGTGTCTCAAAACAGGTCACCAACAGCACAGCAGGGCAGGGTGCACTGCACAACAGCATGACCCCCAGCAGTTTTGATCAGCAATGTTGACTATTACAGTATTAAATATAGTAGCAAATAAGTTAGGGTAATGCAGGTGTTGGCAGCAGGGTTACTGCTCATTCTCTTTAAATTCTTAGAACTGGCCGCTGTTGTACCACCAGACCCGAGCTGATACTTAGTGTAGTACTTGGCTAGGGACTATGTGCCACTACTACTAATGACAGCACTTCAACATGCAACCAAGAATACTGTAATAGTCCTCATGCTGTATGGTATGGAAACATGGTTTGGGGAACATAGCACTCTGCTTACCTGTGTCTCAAAACAGGTCACCAACAGCAGGGCAGGGTGCTCTGCACAACAGCATGACCCCCAGCAGTTTTGATCAGCAATGTTGACTATTACAGTATTAAATATAGTAGCAAATAAGTTAGGGTAATGCAGGTGTTGGCAGCAGGGTTACTGCTCATTCTCTTTAAATTCTTAGAACTGGCCGCTGTTGTACCACCAGACCCGAGCTGATACTTAGTGTAGTACTTGGCTAGGGACTATGTGCCACTACTACTAATGACAGCACTTCAACATGCAACCAAGGTGTTACTGCAGGTGGTTTGTGCTGAACAGAAAATCAGAATGGATTAAACTGCTGGAACCATTAGGGTACTGAGATCAGCATTAGGTTATCAGCTGACCAGCATGCTGGAGGACAAACACTAGAGGATGGAAAATTAAGTTTTAGGGTATAATCTCATTATCAGTATGGGTAGTACAGTGGCACCTCTAAAGCTTTTTAGCTGAGGGACATGTCCACCTACCCACTGCATACAGCAGAGAGTAGCTGCCCATGAGCTCAAGGCAGGGGGGAGGGTCTGTTTAGCTGTGACTGAGGGAAGCTTTAAGGGAGTTAAAGGTGTTCAAAGGCAGCCCTGAAAATCCACATCAGCACAGCGAGCAGCAGGAGTACTGGCAGAAAGGGACCTCCTTCTACAACCAGAGAGAGGTTAAGTTCAGTACATCTCAAGAAACCCTACTCTTGACTGTAGACATGCGTTCCCTCTTAACTCAAGGTGCATATTTCTGGTTAAAAGTTGTAATGACTGTAGAGATAAAACCAAGGAAAAGAACAAAATTTAACTTTTTTTAGTAATGTACCTCAGCCCAAGTGATTCATTACAGTTATCCGACACTATTTCCTGTTGAAGCTGCTCAACATACAATTAAATGCAACCAAAGTTGCTGGTTTTAACCTGAGTGCCGTGAAAATCCTTCATTCCATTTCTCAGGCTACAGGATCTGACCTATGACAGGTCCCTGCAAGAGCTGCTCTCTTCTCTGTGCCTCTGTATTTCTCATTCAAGGCACGTAACACTCAGAGGGGCTCAGTAGTTTCGATGGACTGTAACAGCAGGCCAGTCTTCACTCGCATCAGCCCAGCAGAGGTCAGCTGCGTCTGCTCACCCTTCCCTCTGGACAACCACAAGCATGGCAGCATGCACCAGCAAACAAAAACTGTCCAAAGGGTTTCCTTCATGAAGTACAAGAAGAAGCAGCACTGGAATTTCCAATAGGTTGTTGATAACATTTTTGCTTTTATTGTCAATTTGAGAATTTTGGTGTGACTTTAGTTGGATACTAGAGCTATTAGGCTTACCCGCACCTAACACATTACATTACATATTTAAAAAATAACATGGCTTTAAAAAGACAGAAGAGTAAAGTAATTTGGAAAATAAAATAGTTTATAGCACTAAGGAGTCACAGTGCAATCAATGATTTAATCAAACAACTACATTATATATATATATAATATTTAAAGAACATAAATATTCAGGAAATTCACTACAACATGAAAATAAAAGCTTCACATTTTCCCACGTATTTTAAAGAACTGGGGACAAAGTGACACACAGCTTCTAGACAGACTGCTCAGCTTCACGAACACCTCTCTTGCTTAAGGGACTGGACATTACCTTAGCTATCACACTGGGAAGGTATGCTGCAACTAATCTAGAAGTTACCCCCAAAATTTTAAAGCATTTATAATCACTGCTCCCCCACCCCCCCCAGGTTATATTTAGTGGACATGCACTACTAGTCTATACAATGCAACATTTCACCAGAAAGTCATGAGTAAAATATTTCCTTAAAAACTGCCCCCTCTGTGTTCCGGGGCCTGAAAACTTCCATTTCAAGTCACAAAAAGAGCCAAGTCTTTCCAGTAAGAGAAAATAATTAAGTTACTAAAAGAAGCCTGTGCAGTTTTCACATCAGGATAAAGCTGACCTGAACCGGCAACGGGAATGGACAGGTGTACTTACAAGTGCTAGGCCTGAAAGAAGCGATGGAAGGGAACTTCCTTCCCGAAAGGATCCCCGAGCATCTGAATACTTTTGTACCACATGCCAAAACCAGTCTAACTATGGGCAAGACAAAGAAGGAGCAATACTGTGGTTTAAAGTACAGTACTTCTCACCTATCACACCAACTTTTTTTGCTTCTAGCTTCAGGTGCAAACCGGTGAAGGCTTCATCGGCAAGTCTTACAGCAAAGGGAATCTCACAGTAACATTATTTCCCTTAAGACAGAATGCTAATAGGTAAAGCAACCCCCATTAAGTGACAGCAAGGTCCAGAGTGAGGGAAGAGGAGTTTAACATGCTAATGAACAGTAGCTACTGGACTTACATGACAGCCTACTGCCAAGTTTTAAAACAAACCTAAATTTAAGACACTAAATGGTAAACTTTTGTCAAGTACTAAAATTGTCTTCCAAAGTGCTAAGCCACATTTGTTAAAGCTATGGCAAAGAAAAAAATATTTAAAAAAAAAAATTAAATCTTCGAGCAGCTTATGGTTGAAGTCTTCCCTACTCAAACTGAAGCCTGGATAACCTCACAGCTGGGGTAGCATGAATTCCATACAGCAAAGCATTTTGATTTTGCATTATGTCTGTGTCCTGGAATTCCAAGGATTTGCATTGGGGAAAAAAAAAAAGTTTTCAAGACCGTTCTTTGCAGAAAGTTCCAGTACATTCACAATAAAAATCTGTTTTATAGGGAACAGAGTAGGGCTATAAAACTTCCAGAATATTTTGTTCAATTAAGCTTGTGAGGACAGAATTAACACTGCAACGGGGGCCAGATGGGAAGCTGCAGCACGCATCAAGATTGGCTTGCTCTACACGGGGAAGAGTTAGGGCTTTGGGGTTTTTGACAAAAATACTTGTTAGAAAGCAAACCAAATCTCATGAATCACCTTGCACTGAAATATTAAGCCTAGTAAACAGCAAGGTTTTAAAGTGTCGGTTTTCTCACTACAGCTCTATTTGTTCACAAGAAAGTGACTAATAAATCTTTTTAGGGAATCAGATTACCTCTAGCTGCAAGACTATCAGAAATCAATTCTCTAACAATCTTTTATATGGATAACCATTAGCAAATTACAACATTTAACACATTTCCTGGCATATGTTACTATTGAATAGACTTACCGAGCCATCCAATGCTCAATACTTCACAGAGGCTACTATAACTGTGTTAAATGAGTAAGAAATCCAGATTTACCTGGACAAAATTAAGACATTCCAAACCGGAACACTCGTTCAGTTATCATGCATTAGGAACAAAAAAGCATGTCAAACACTGACTGGAATGCACTGGAGAAGATCATTTAGTCTCCTAGGGAAAAGCCAAAAACCCAAAGCAAAGACTAAATTAAATACAACCCAGAATACTGTCTAATCATGTTAATAAGTATACTGAGAGAGCCTGAAGGCATCACGTGTATTGTCCATGAAGATAATGGTGGTGCCTTCTTTTAATATTAAAGAAGTCATAGCTATAAAAAGAGTTAGTCTAGTCCCATCTCAGTTTTCCAGCATAGCTCATTTATGTTCCTTTGTTGGCGCATAGTACAGTTCCATGGGTTTGTTCACTTTCCAGTACTTCTCACTGACCAGTTCCAAGGAAAATGACCCATTTAATACCTAGAAGAGAACACCAAAACAGAAATGAAATCTGACTGCTTGCACAGGTAGTACTGCAGCAACAACCACTGAAGTCAGAGGCATATGCCGACTTAAAGAAGTCACCGATAGTGTGGAACGAGATACCAGCTAACCACTCAGCCTCAAAAAGCAACAGTGCAAGCTATTCTGAACTCCTGCTGATCCCACTGAAACAGCACCGAAAAACAGTTTTGCAAAGTGAATATAGTTGTAAATAAAGTGAAATTTTTCTCCTTCCTCTCTCTGCAAACAGAGTGAGTAGTAGATGTGTATGTACACCAGAAGCACCTCTGTCGAAGGGACAATCGGTAGCCATGTTTGAAAGCTCTTTGACATAGACTCCTGTTGCAAAGCATCTGCCTATCTCTTAACCAGAAGACCGATTTTACTCAGTGCCTTGGTTTCAGATAAATGCCCAAGTGTAAGAAAGACCAGCCTCAGAGTTCAATCTAATTGCGGTATTGCCTTGTTGTACCCATCTATTCTGAAGTCAGCAGCTGAGAGGAGGGATTCTTCCCCAAGCGTACTCACACGTGCTTCAGAGTGGAATATTAGAAGCCTACACAGAAGTGGAGAAATGCCACCTTACAATAGATGCTTCCTATCTGCTCTTGAAACAAGATTCTCAGAGAAAGTAATTTTTTCTTCTTCGATTTTGACTGTAAGATAATGGCTTAAGTCAGCTAGTAGTTGCTAGCATCACTAGATTTTTCCCAAGTAATTTATATGCCTTCTTTTCTACTAACCAAACTTTTGCTGTATACATTTTCCCACAAAGGAGTTAATCTGCTTCTAAACAACCAACCTGGTGCTATGAGTTTTATCCCTAGGCCAACTCAGGAAAAGTCCAGCTGAGTGGCTTTTAATCAAATCTGTACCAAAGATGTATTGATGCGCAGTTTTACTCTTAGAAGACCTTCTACTTACAGTGAACTGCCCGTTGGCAGTAGCAATGTAAATGGTATACTGCTTCTCACTGGCCGTGTCAAGGTTCATCTGGTTTGATTCTCCTTTGCTACGAAGCTCCTCCAAAGCCAATCTCACAGCTAGGTACTTGGACAAGTGATCAACAGTGGCATTGCCTGAGGTCTTGATGTATCTGTGACAACAACCACAATGATAATCAAAGACATTTGAGTTGCAAGTACAGGGAAAGACATCTGGAACACCCTCAAATATTAAGCATCAAGTGTGAAAAGGCTTTTAAAGACAGTTCACAAACAAGAATATTAATCGTTTTCACCTAAGAACGTGTGAGCAGCTTACCAAATTGTATTGTTCCAAAATGCCCTCACATCTTTTTGACATTTCTCCCCCAGGCCCTCCTGCTCTTTGTAGAGAAAAGACAACACGCTGCCCTGTCATCTGCTTAAAATGAAAAACCTAATAACAGATTGTCAAGGGGTTTTGAGAACTATTCATGACTGCTGATGTCTTCTGAGCATAGATACAGTCTCAAGTACCTGGACAGAAAGCCGTAAGGTGCAAGAACTACACACTTTAATTCTTCAAGCAGGACTTAAAGGCTGACACAAATGCTGCAGAGACCTCTCCTAGAAGCTTAGCTTTCCCTTTGCCTTTCAGAACAACCCCCAGAACTCCCTTGCAATTCCAAACCCAAAGAAAAGCTGGCTGAAACTTATATTTATAGGCACTACAGAGGGACAACTCATCAGGAGAGAGAGCCAGGAAGAGGTCTAAGGGAACTCCGTGAGACTGCTCATTGCTATGATCCAAAATGTGTAGTCTGTGCTTGGACTGGATCATGAAAAAAAATGCCAGGAAAAGCTTCTAGCCCACAAATCCCACTGACACAAAGCTGCTCCGAAAACTGCTGACACTTATGCAAGGTTTGTTTATTCCCAAAGAATCTTACAGTAAGTAGAAAGGGGCTGATATTATACCATCATCCTACCACCTACTGTGAACTTCAATGCTATAGAAACCCTTAAAGCCATCTTTATTTGTGATCAAAAGCTTAAAACAGATTGTTACTGTATTCCTGATAGTAGTTGAGCAGTACCATCTACCAGACTTGCTATGGGGAGAGGGAAAGAGTGTATATGTTTAAACAGGGTGTGGTGTGACCCAAGTAAATTGATTTTTAAAAGCCCCACGGAGTGGAAGAAACCAAAAGCAACAGAAAATAACAGCAGAATACATGAAGAGCAATAGAAGACATGTACCTTGTCTGCGCACTGTCATCGTTCTCCATGAGGGTCGGATGAGGCCTGAAGACTAATTCAATTTCACTAGCACCATCCATTACAGGGTCTATTGCCACAGTTGTGTTGTTATTGTCCAGTTCTAGCCCAGAATCATCCGATGTTTTGGTCCTCTTATTACTAGGCCCCGCTTCCTGATTGCTGTGTGTTGAGGCATTGCTACAGTGTGAACTGTCACCATTATCTTCTGCTCCACTGCCATTCTCGATCTGTTGTTTCTTGCCCCTCTGTAGCCTGATCAGAAATAGGTAGAAATAAATGCTAATTCACATTCAGAATCCACCCAGCGTACAGGCCCACTGCTTGTACAACTCCTTCCTCTTCCAGGCTCTTTCATGCCAGAAATTAGACATATGCATGCACAACCACAAAATATTTCAGAGATACTAAAAAAAAAAAAAATAAATAATTCTTGCTTATTAAAAGATGCAATTAAAACCTAAGTTCCAGCATGATGTGCATTTATTTGCATGTAATGGCAATATGTTGGTACAGGATTCATTGTATTGCAGTTTATTATCTAAGACATGATAGCCATAATTTGATAAAGCTAAACTGAAATCTGCTGTCTACATCAGGCTGCCACAGAAGTTGCAGGGAGTGATAAAAAGGTTACTATTAGCAGACAGAAGGTTAAAAATTGTTTTGGCAGACTTCAGCGGAGAGAAGAGGAATCTCAGGCTATACAGGGAGTGAGGACACACTGTGTATTTTTAGTGTTAAGGCAAACAAGGTTACACGTGGACAAATTACGTGGATTACGTACCTGTTCATAGCCTGAATCTTTAATCCTTCCTCAATGCTGTGACTTAAAGCTTGCTGGTTATTGTGCTTGCTGATTCTTGCTAGCACTCTCTCCTGATGAGCTTCATATTCATCTCGGCTTGGATAAATTTTACTGATGAGAGCATCAAAATTGGGATCTGGTCTCAGTGATCTTTTTGAGACTAGCTTTTTACGACACGTGGGACATTCTTTGTTGCTAGACACAAACAAGAAGGCAGAAAATAATACTAACTCTCCAGGAATAACAAAAGTCTGCCCTAATGCTGTAATTCTTAGTGAAAGTGCTCTCCAAGACTCAATATTTATAGTAAATCTGGAATGGGGCTTCTATCTTTTGACAGACCAGGTAGTTCCAGATATTTAAACAAAACCCCCAAACATACATCTCCCTGCTTCACTTTTTTTTTTTTAAAGTATGTTTGAGCAAACTGTATTTAGACTGAAGAGTTCAAAAGTTCCACTCTGCAAAAAAGTTCTTCCCTTAACCCTCTGGATGGATTTTCACCTAGAAGAAATGCATGCCTAGTGCAGATTATATTAAGGCACAGTCTTCCTAGCACTCACAAGACAAAACAGAGACTGAAGAACCTATTCTATAGTTCAAGCACGAATTATTACCAGGAAAACTAAAACAGTCTTGTCCTTCCTACCATTTTGTCCTCATTTAACTAAAATTTCAGGTTCACACTATTTTTTTCCTGTAAGAAGAGAGGCCTCAATAACTGAAACCCTGGCATCTTTACTCCTGATGGTTTTCTTGTTTTCCTCTAATGTATTTTTGCTAATTACTCATCAGAATTTATACAGGCATAGCAAATGAAGTGTAACCTCTTGAACACAGGTAATTGCCATTATCAGAAATAGTAGTGAAGCTTGGAAGCAGGACTACTGCTGGAAGGCCACACAATTTGCAACTTATTAGTAGGAAAAGGAAGAATAAGACAAACGAGACTCATTTTGTAAGTAATGTGGTGTATTTTTGTTTTGCTGTTACTGGATTGGAAAAAAAAAAAAAAAAAAAAAAAAAAAAGGAGGCACGTAACTGTTCCACATCAATGCCCAGGACTTAGAGGATTTCCTTGATCACATTTTCATCTTAAGTGAAATCCCTTTTCCCTGTAATAATATTTACATACCCACTCCTGAGGGCTGTAATGATACAGTCAGCACAGAAGCGATGCAAACATTCTTTTGTTGTCATGGTGTTTTTTAACATATCCAAACAGATGGGACACATCAGTTCACTGTGCAGGCTCCTGGGTGACACCACTATTTCCAAGCCATCGGTGATTGCTTCCTAGCGTAAAATAAATGGAATTTAGTAACTTTCTCACAAAGGCTGCATGTTTTGCTATTCTTTTAAAAGAGAAACACAGCAAAAAGACAAAACAAGACAAATACACAACCACATCAAACATACACATGCTGCTAAAGGAAGGAAAAAAGAAATAAAGATCAAACATCAGTTTATTTTTCCAATATTATAAGACAGCTTTTGTTTTCAGAGGACTTTTTAAACATATACTATAATGTAAAATAGGCAGTTAACACTCCTAAAGGAGAAAGAAAATCTTAAACGTCAAGCTTCATGTTCTAAAATGTGTAAAAAAGCGCCTTGCCATAAAGGCCAGCTCTTTACCTGAGGCGTTCTTTGCAATTCATACAAACTGAGCTCCCATGTTTTGCTTAAAGGTTGTGTCCCATTTGTCTGCACAGCTTGAGACATGGCTGGGAAGAAAAAGAGAGAAACAAGTTGCACACTGACATACACCTGGCTACAGGAGCCAGCTCCCTCTCCCGAGCAGGCTTCTCTGGCAAGCATGGAGACCCCAGGTCCAGACACAGTGGTCTCTGTGCCAAAAAAGGAGAATTACGGGGCGAACACTTGTTCATCCAAGTACCAGGCTCCACTGTGTTACACATGGATAATCCCATGCACTGTACCACTCCAGAAAAACTGAAGGAGTCAGTCAGCCATGAACACTTTGCAAAAATCAATTAAGGTTGTTAAACAAAAGCGACATAGAACTGAAGGCCATACAACTTTGGCTGTGTGGTGCGAAGGCTGCAAATGCCACCTGATGCGGAAAACATCCATAAAACATCCACTTACGAACCTGCATACAGGTCAAGTAGGGTCTACTTCCTAACCCAGTGGAAGGTCAAAATTATACATGTACACAGAAAATTAGGTAAATGTGTTCCCTAGAAGCACACTATAATGCCTTTTTCCTCCTGAAAATATATTACTAGGGGTTTCCAATCAGAAATTTAGAGAATACTGAAAGAGCAAGTAAAACCTAGTCACTGGGTAATTCCAACCAAGACACCCGATTTTCCTGTGCAATCCCACTGGGCTGCAGTGCATAGGCACGTGATTCGCAATGACATGGGGGGGGGGGGTTTTTTTTGGGGGGGGGGGGGGGTGAAGTCAGAACTTTTACACCACCACCACTGCAGAATTTGCTTACAGGCAAAAGCACACATCACCTTTTCATTAAGAAAAATCCTATAAACAAAAAACACCACCACAAAAAAAAAAAAAAAGATCATGCAGAGAGACCACAAAGCTTTCCCATCAAAATTTTGAGATTAGGCAAGACATGGTCAGTGCAGACATGTGAAAGAAAGTCAGGTCAAAACAACAGAAGGAAATTATGTTTCTGAACCGAAACATTTTCACACTGAGGGAGAGAGGGCAATCCTGCCCATCCCTCCAAAAATGCCTGCCTTGAAGCAGGAAAACTCATCCCAGACGCTGTGGTATGTTTGGGAAAAAAAAAAAAAGTAACCATGTAAGAGGCAAGATTGCAGCTGCAGACATTTCTACTAGGTGGAAAAAGCTTTCTTCCTTTCTTTTACAACTTTTATTTAAATCTAGGTTTGTATTTCCAGACCCTTCAAATCTGCAGCCAAATGCAGATTCTATTGGCATCTACCAGGTACATTATAAACCAGTTTCCAATTCATCGAGTTCTATATGAAAGGGGTCAAGCCCTCTGGAGAACAAGGTTACTTTGTAAGCTTTAATTAATTATTGAGGGAAAAGAGAGAGAAGCAGTGCAGCAAAGATTATTATATTTACTTTTATGCAGGCACAGAAATTGGTTTTCCCAGCTCATGAAAAAAGGGTGGGAGGCGGGAAGCCTGACATGAAGTAGCCATGTCTACTATTATGTCTAGGAAGTTAACAAGGGTCTGAAGAGGCATCAAAAGAAATAATTAGGAGATGACAGATCGCCAGCTCCAATTTCTACTATGTAAGTGTTGTGCCCTAAAAATACAGTTTACTCGTCACAAGAGACGTGTTCCCCTGTGTGGATCAGAAAAGTAAGATGCCAGTTAGGACCTCACCTCCCCATTAAAAGTGACAAGCCACCATGACCCAACTGTAGACTGTCAGCTCCCAGTCTGGCCAAGCATTGGACTGTCCTGTCAGGATTCTGGGCACTTCATTTAAATTATTCAGAGGTATGACTTTAATGATGGTATTAAGTGATGCATCTCAGCAAAGAAGCAATGTTGGAAGGAAATAGTATTTCTGTGTGTTCTGATTTCCACTATCATTTAAGGTAATTCCAGGCATACAGGAAGTTGGGTCCTTCGGGGTAAGGATTTTTGTTATGTGTTGTTGCCAGACGGTTGTTCTAACAGAGGCCCAACATTATTATTACATGTCTGCACTACTCTTGAGTGCTTTTAAAGCTGACACATTAATTAACTATCATTTCAACTACTGAGAGAAATTTGTGAAGCTGCTAATCGTTCACACCCTTCCCAAAACCTGCTGAAGCATACAGTCAGACTGCAGCAGATTAAGAGACATAAACCCCAGTAAATCCAGCCTCTCTTAACAGAAAAGCCTGCTCCCAACATTATGCAGCTCCATCACAGTAAAGAGCTCATCTAAGCAGCCCCACAGTAAAGAGATCATCGCATGTACAAATAATATCCTGCCTAAATTTGCATGCTTACACTTGCTAACACAGAAAGGCAGCTCTCTGGGTGCCAGACTGTCAGCCAGCCTATCAATCCGGAGAACAAGTGTATTAACACTATCATTTATACTGCAACCTTGCCTACAAGCCCGAGGCTACACTGCAGAAGACACAGTACAAGTGTCATGATAAGTGATTGACCAGCTTTATTCTAAAAGCTTCTAATGTGATGCTGAGTGCTTCATTCTCACCCCAAGGTCAGCAGTGGTAGCACTCTCAAATTTTAAGATGAAAAACACTGGCCTTAAAGCTATCTGAAAGATGGAGAGATCCACATAGTCCACTTTATTGCTAGCAAACACCTCCTCTGCCTCGGGTATGTACGAAGTAGAAATCTGAGAAACAGTGGAAACATGGACAAGTGAAACATGCTGAAAAGCCCCCCCCCAAAAAAAAAAAAAATCATCAACAACAACAAATCACAGTACACTGCATGGAAGTTTTAATCTGCTTCTCCCCTACAGTTTTCAGATCTGTATTGGGCCTGGAAAATGCACATGAATGAGGCTTGACTTCTCTTCCTTAGGACAGTGTTGGACATTGCATTGGATTACATTTCCTCACACTGCTGAAATCTAATACAGCAACATCAACAGCGGGTGCCAGTATCAGAGACTGAACTCCACAATCAGGAGAAGCGTTTTGACCTAAAATTGCACTGACCACGTAATAGCCACCAAGTATCAACTAGCAGTCTCAAAATCATAACCAGTAAACCATCTCTTCCAAAGTTCTCAACCATGACTGATCTTCTCCACTCACCTGGGGAACAGCGGTAGGAAAAGCCTCTACAACTAGCTGACTCTCCAGTCAAGCTTTACAACCAAGCAGGAAGAGATTGCACTGGCCCCTCGCTCTCAGGTTTAACAGCAAATAGACAACTATACTGGTATCTGTTTTAAGTAAGCAAGTACTCTTTGGAGGCAGTCATTTTCAAAGCACATCCCAAAGAGCACTGCTTAGTTCGTTTGTTGGTCTCCAGTAGAAAAAACCTGAATGAGCAAGACACGACTGGACTCCATCGTTCTCTCTGTTCTTGTGCTGGCTGTGGAGCTGAATTGCTGTGGACAGACCACCTCCAGCTCTCCTTGCCTGGCACACAGGTGAATCTGACAGAAGGGCTTTTTCTAGCTGTTCTGACAGTGCCAAGACATTCACAGCCTGCAACACTAATACAGGTATTACTCCTTACTTAAGTTTTCTTTTAAGGCTGTCCACCGCTATGAGATTTGAAGCAGGCATCTGCTGAAAGAAATCCTGAATGGTGCAGGCCAGACTAGATGATCCTTTCTAAAGCTACAAAATTAGGAAAAGTCTTTCATGAACCAAAGCAAGATTTTTTTTTCTGTTGTTGACGCTTTGTTCAGAGTTAAAAATATAAAGTGGGAAGTTTCTAGACAGAAGGACAACAGACTTTTTTATTAACTACTACTGGCAAGAGGAGGGAAGATACAGAATAAATATAAAACCTTGCATTTATTCTTCAGTGTTGAAATTTATTCCACTGAAATCTCATGTTCTGAAGCTGGATTTTCGCTGACATAGTTCGCTATTCTTCTGCATCCCTTTCAGCATTCTTTTTAAAAAAGAAGTCTTACATAACAATTTTTCTCATGCTCATATTTCCAACTCAAAATACGATGCAGATTTCATCACAACAATATCTACTTCGGTTTTCAGCTATTCAACATTTCAGATCTTTTCCACTTTATAAATGAAAACAAGATCTTTTCTTCACAGGTCACAGCATTGGGAACAATGTGAAGTCAGATATGTCCTGTGAGCCTCTTTTCATCATTAAGTTTTTGAAACAACTTCTAACACATCACAACTTTATGACTTGTCTCTACCCTCTGGATGTAAGAGGAGAGAAACCAGTCGCATGACAGCTGGGCAATACGAAGGGGAGAAGCCACATTCCTGTAGCCAGATCAAACATCTTTCTCTCGGAGGCACTAACAAGTACTAGTTGTTCTGATTTATGCTATACCCAGAGGGCCACCCTTGTCAGTCATTAAAAAAGAAAAAAAACCCTAACCAATATTATAAGGACACCTGCGATCCTTCAGACTGACTCAGTCTTCAAACACAGTAAAACTCTTAAGCACAAACTTCATAATTACAGCGTATGCGCATCCATCACTATCAAAGCAAGAGCTGACTGATAAAACCAAAAGAACGCATTATAAATCTGAGAACCAGAAACGCTGTGAATCTCTTCAGGCTTGATTCCTTGTCACTCCCCAGTTCCAAACAGCAGCTGAAAAAAGGGAAACAAAGCTAACATTTAGTATTTAGTCATAAAACTTGCCTAGTTGCTTTGTGTCCTTTATAGCAGAAAACTTGAAGATGAAAGAGGGAGATTGCTAAAGATTATCAGAATGTGTCAATTTTTTTATTTCTTTGTACCCAGGATGTTTCTCAGTTCTCCACATTGCCAGAACATTAAAAACAAAAGAAAACAAACCCCACCTGTGCTGTTCCTAAGGAGCTTCAGAAACTTGTGATCCATTTTATATAACCAAACTTTATCCAAAAGTTGAATAGCTCCCTAACTACAGCTGGGAGATGAGCCTGCCGGCTTCAGTAACAAGCACCGCATCACTTCATTTGAAAGACTTGCTATTTAAGCCTGATTTCCTTGGAAAACAGAGCTTATACAATCCAGCTCTTTGTGGTCATCCATCTGTAGACTATTTTCCAAAACAAATTTGAGGACAAAAGTCTG